TATATATATATAATCCCCTGTTCAATCTATAGTTGGCAAATTTTGTTTCTTCAGTTTGGACACAATAGCAGCCAGGCATAAACTCACAATGATTCTGACAGCCTGCACCAGGCCTGTGGAAAACCAAAGCAGAGTAAATCCAGAATGGAGAATAGTATTGGGTATGAAGTCCCACCACTAGCTGAGCGATTGGCAGTTGTTATCCACTTGGGAAGGGAAAGTCACTTTTCCCTAAGAACGTGGTCCCTTGAGTGACAACTACTCTCTAGCAGAAGACAACACATCCAAGTAGGATAGCAGCATTAGCTATTCCTCACTCTTTTTGCCTGTCAGAATGAAGAGAAAGTGAAAACCACAACTGTCACGTGCTGCTACTTTCCTAAAATTGACCTGAAATGCCGAAGCATCCTCCTGCCTCTGCCTCCCTATTACTTGGATTAAAGGCAGGTGCCACTGTGACTGGAGAAACACTAATTTAAACTAGGATTAACAGAAAATTTGAACTCAGAGCATTCATTTTTGTCTTTCATCTAATCTCTTAAAATATCACTTAATTATTTTCCTCTTAAATTATTTATCTTTGAAATTTTATATTTAAATCCACAACTTCTGAGGGCAGATTTAACACTACGTGACACTAGCTGGTTTTGAGTCTTTGACTTCTAGATTGTTCTCAACTGCTTGCATTTGGAAGCAGGTGAAATTGATGGGTGAACCATTCATCAGTAGTGAAGGCGGTCCTTGAAATACTGGTGGGACTTATTTGTTGGATTTTCTTTTCCCGACTTTATATCTTAAGATAGGAATCCCTAGTACATTAAAAAATGACTCCCCTTGGAAATGTGAATTTTACAAATGTTTCTCAATAAGGTGAAGTTAGGCCCATAGTCCAGTGTCTTTAGTTGCTTTATTTAAAAGTAGAATTTTAAAATATACACACATATGTGGATGATGTAAAAGCTATGTCATCAGAGATAGAGATGCTTCCATATGTCAGCTAGCATCAAGGCCTCTGGAAGCTAGAGGAAGAAAAACAGAGCACATTCTTCTTCACAAATGCCAAAGTCTGCAAAATGTTTATATAGATGAATTTCTATGTGGTCTCATTAAATAAAAAACATGGTGAAGGCCTTAGAAATCAGGGAAACAGTGGGAGCCACCAACCAACCTTACTTCACCAGCTCTGCAGCTCCCAAAAGTGAGCTACTTCCTGTCTACCTGCGCCTTTATTGCCTTGCTGTTCTGTCCTCTCATTGGCTCTTAGCCCAGCTACCACACTTCCTTGTCACTGCCTGTCTGTACAGACCTCCAGGTCTCTATGGTTGGTACTGGGATTAAAGGTGTGTGCCACCATGCTCCGCTCTGTTCCCTAGTGTGGCCTTGAACACTCAGAAACCCTGCCTGCTAAATGATAGGATTAAGGAAGTATGCTACCACGGTCTGACTTCTGTGTTAATGGTTTGCTATTTCCTCTGATCTCCAGGCAAACTTTATTTATTAACATACAAATGAAATATCACCATATATTATTTCAGCACAAATAAAATATCACCATATGTTGATTTACCCATCAAGTTCTAAAATCTCTCTCTCTCTCTGTCTCTCTCTCTCTCTGTCTCTCTCTCTCTCTCTCGTTTTTGAGACAGGGTTTTTCTGTGTAGCTTTGTGTCTTTCCTGGAACTCACTCTGTAGCACAGGCTAACCTCTAACTCACAGAGATCCACCTGCCTCTGCCTCCCGAGTGCTGGGATTAAAGGTGTGCACCACCACCACCCGACTTCTTTTATTTTTGTTTAGTGATAGATAATCAAAATTAAGAATATTTTCTTTTGAAATGAAGTTTTTTATTGAAAATAAGAAAGTTTTACCAACAGTCCTACCTAATCATGATGCCTCTGAATCGCATCAACCATTAGAATGGCACAATATCCATACAGATGCTGTAGTGACACACATGCCTGGTGCTGACCAACCTCTCTAATTGGACGTAACACACGCTCAGCAAGAGAACTCGCATGCTGGTACTGCAAACCGAGCTAAATACTCAGTGTTTCTTCATTTCTAATTTCCTTTATTACATCACAAGGCAGCACATTCTGTGAAAGCTCTATTATCTATGTGGTGCACCACTGAGTAAAATGTTTTGCAAAGCATATGACTTTGCTGCACTTATAACAAGGTGTGGAATTTCTGGGTTACATTACATGGTAAAGTGAGATCCAACCTTCTGAGTAAATGCTAAACTCTATTCTATGTAGGTTGGTCCAATACTCATTCTTTCCAGTAATGCAGTAGCTTTTATTTAAAACAATTCATAGGCAATTGTAAAGAAACTATTTGTGTGAAGTCATATCTACTATGTATTCTTTTGCATTTTCCTAAGGATTGACAATGAGAAAGAAATACAGGGAATCATGGAGTTGACCTGGTCTAGCTTCCACAAGAGGAATGCATCATAGGACTTTCAGGTTAGAGTTCAGTTCATGGCTCCTGGGGGCACTGTGTGTCTTTCAGTTCCCGAGAAACTGAGGCACTCCCTTGGGCAGTAAAGCATCCAGGCTGCCCATGTATCTCTGCACTCCCTAGAAGTCAGTGAAGCATCTATAAATTTGGCAGAACAAATTGTCTTAGGCATTAATTTTGTGGACCCTGTATAGATTGCAAATACCATTGTATCCTGGCAACTACAATTGTATGCTTCCTGGCAACTGCCATTGCATTCTGTTTCTGGTAAGGGTATAAAAAGTCTAATTGCCCTGCCCACCCTCGTGGGACAGCTGGCCTCTGCACTCTGGAGAGATGGTCGTACCCCTCTCCACAGCATAGGAGAGCTGGCCCTTACGGCAGAAACCTAGGAGAGCTGGCTCTGCCCCGTCCCAGTCTCAGTGGCCCAGAACAACCAGTTCAGCTACAACCCAGACCCACATCCTGAACCTGGGGTTGGCTCACCCTAACATGTACCCCATCTAATATCTGCTGGAGTGTGTGAAAGACCTAGTCCTGTTGTATCTCTGTGACCCGGGCACCAGCCGGATATCTGAGAGGAGTTTAGGTGAGGATCTAGTGATGATGGTATGCCAGAGACCTTGAACCAGACCAACGACTCATTGCAATGAACAATTTGCAGATGAGGCTGATTGGACAAAAGGGTTTATATACTACATGACACATTCAGCTCCCATTGCTACTAGGAAGAATGAAGAAGTGTTGGAAAGGCAGAGGAACGAAGTGGGAGGTTGGTTTTGTTTTGTTTTTAATTAATTTTGGGGAGAGATTATTTTAGGGGAGATGCTGCAGGGGTAAGGGGTAGATGTGGAGGGACTGGGAGGTGAGCAGGATTAGGGAGCATGATGTGAAATACCTAAAAATCAATAAATAAGTATGCTATTAAAAAAAAAAACTTTGATTGTTCACATTAACTTTGCTTCAGCCTCAGTCTTGCTGAGACCCCTCCAACTAGGCCTGGCTTTCATTCCTACCAGCTATATCAGGAGATACTGAGTTGGTCAATAATTGCTGGCATTTAGATACAATAACCTCTTCATTAATTTATTTGTCACAGTAAATCTCTTTGGAAAAATATTCTCCTCTGCCCATTGATTCAGTAGTTTTCTTTTGGTTGTTATGGTTTTTATATATGCTAAGTATAGATGATTTACAAGCTTTATTTATTTGTTTATTTGTTTGTTTGTTTATTGTGGGGAATATTTGGCAGGATCTAATTCAGAGACTCTTGCATTGTAGGAAATCTCTGCCACTGAGCTATTTTCCCATATCAATTTTTTCCTTAAACAAAACCAAAAACTGTATTTTTTATGTTTCAAAATTTTTTATTCTTTAGTCATTAAATTGAAACATATTAGATGACTAAAACACATTGAGACTGTGCACCTGTAAAGTCATTCAAGAAAAACAAACAAAAAATATACAAAAAGCCTAATGTCCCAAAGTTCTGTAATGTTTCCATTTCTGTTTTTTATTAATTCTTTGAGTTTAAATAATGTATTTAGATCATACTCAGTCCATTCTCCCAAGCCCTCACAGATGCCCCTTCTTTCCTTCACACCCTACTTTGTGTCTTCTTTAAGTTTTTATAAGTCCTAGAGCCCAGTTTGTCATGTCATACACTACTGGGCGTCTGGATACTGCCTGGACTAGGGCTGACTACCAGGAGCCACAGCCTTCAAGAAAACTGACTCTCCTCCCTTTCACGATAGGTTGCCAGTACTTCCTCATCTAGGAGTCATAGTTCACACCTGTCTTTTGTTTGCATACTAGGGTTTTATTGGACACGAACTTGCAACTTGTCGTTTCTTGAGTATAACTGTCATGCTGTGTACAGAAGACAGTTATGCTGTAGTCAAGAACTGCCTCTGGTCTTAGAATTGTTCCATTCCCTTTATCATGGTGACTCCTGGCTTCATTCCAAACTACATATAATATATTCCACATGCTATTTGGGGGCAGATATTCCACATATGTCATAGATATCATTTTCTTAGTTTGTTATTCATGTCATTTAACTATTTGCAAACCCTTGTCTCTAAATATTTGTCATCATTGTTGTTGTTGTTCTGTTGTTTTGTCTTGTGGTATATGCATATTTGCATATTCATATGTGTACATATGCACAGATGAGTGCATATAGGTATGTGTTAGGTGTCTGTCTTTACAGATCACCACCTGTTTCTTAAGACAGAGTCACTTACTGAATATGGAACTCATAGATTTTGCAACATTAGCTGGCCGCTGAGTTCCAGGGATTCTATTATTCTAATATATTCAATGCTTTTTGAACTTTCTGAACTTTGTTGTTTGTAGTTTTTGTACATGCTCTTTTCTGTGTTTGTGTGATGTTGGAAATAAAATGGGGCCTTGGACATGTAAATAATTTCTCAACCACTTAAGAATATCACTAATCCATATAGTAACAAATTCAATCTAGACCTTATATCAAAAATCAGTGTTTATTTCAATATTACAGCAATGTTCTACTTAAAATCTATTTTTGTGATATTAGTTAAAGATTTCTTCTTAAATTTCATTTTCATGAAATATCTTTCTCTAGAATTTTATTTTTACTCCATTTGTGTCTTTTGAATTAATGTGTATCTTCTATAAACAGAAATTTCTTCATTCATCTGATTTCTTACCATCACTAACTATATAACTTACAAAAAGAGTATTTTGTCACACATATTTAGACAGGGTGGGAAGGTTAAGATAAAACATCTGAGGGTTTGGTGTCAAGAATTTGTTCCTTATAGTTGGTTACTTATTGGTACGTGTTGATGGTATAGAAGGCAAAGCAGATTACTTCAACGTTGTGAATAAGAAACTTATCTCATACATAGACACAGATGCATTAACCCTTAATAACATCTTATACTGCCTCACTCTTTGTAGCACATCACATTAGGTGTTAGATTCTGAAATAACTTTTGAAAGGCCATAGCAAACCCATATTATAATCATGTTTGTGTGTATCCTATAAATATCTGATTTCAGATATTGACATATATATTCATTTGACATAATTATTGAAATCACTAACTTGTTCCATTTTATTGATTTATACATGTCTTGTCTTATTTTATCCTTCATTAATTTGTTGCCACTTAGTTATCTGTTGTTGTTTTTTCTATAGTAAATTACATGAATTTGTTTCTCATTTTATAACGTAAAAGATTATTTTTTTTCTTGTCATGAGTCTACTATCACACTAACTTCAATTTTTAGTGTCACAAATAGCATATATAGAGTTTTCCTCTCAAAGTGAAGAGCCTGAGTTGAAAGAAATGCACAACCAGCTGAGGTGACAGTGGCAGTGAATGAGGCAGCGGCGTCCCTCACTGGGTTCTCATGTGTCCTTTCTGCAACTTTTGAATTCTAGTTGAAATTCCACCCATGGCCTTTTGGAGCTGTTGGTGTGTCTCCAAAGCAAATTTCAACTTTTGATGAAATCATCAGTGTTAAAATAGAAAAAAATGTTCAACTGACTTGAGGTGAGAATAGATAACAAACTTTCCACCTGAAAAAGAAAAGGAAACAGTACAAGATGGGTGAAAAGAAACCAAAGCCTTTGGACATATAACTTATACATATAACTTCTTGATATAGTAATGTTTGCTTTAATTACATGCATTTATTTTAAGACCATTCACAAATTACTCTAGCCAAATTCCATCAAAACCCACATCCTATTTTCTTATCACAGGAGATAGCTATATAAATTGTGTGTCCAAAAGCACAGATTAAAAATGTAATTTAATTCCTTTGTTCTTAAAATTGTATAAAAAATAGTAAATAGCACCGTAAGGCATTTTTCTCCCATTTGCCTATACAGGTACTTTTGTTAATAATATACAGTGTCATGTTAGTGTTTAATGTTCTTTCATTTTGAACTGAGAATTATCTTTATTTTTTTTTTGTTATAAACCTCATCTAGAGATATGACTCTCTTTGTTTCATCTTATGAAAAACGTCAATATTTAAGGACACATGTGCTAGCTATACAATTCTTAGTTCTTGTCTTTCACATATTTAATATGTTTTGAAGTGTGTGTGTGTCTGTGTGTGTGTGTGTGTGTGTGTGTGTGTGTGTGTGTATGTGCGCGCGTGCGCGCGCGCGCGTGCATGCTACATTGCACAAGTTACAGTCAGGGAACATTGGGAACTCAGTTATCTCATTACATCATGTGGGTCCTAGGGGTTGATCTGGGTTTTCTGGTTTAGTTTCCAGTGTGTTTATGTGCTGCCATCTCAGAGGCCCTTCTTTATGTGTTCCCCCCTCCCCAGACATTGAAATATGTCATTGCAATGTATTCTTTTCCCTCCAAGACATCTGTGGAGAAATAAGCTTCTGATATTTTGGGGTGAGTGTTCACATAGCTAATTATGTGTCTCACCTGTGATCCTTGGCCTCCGACAGTAGTACATTTTTAAAGTGACTTTTCTGTTGAGTTAACGCTGAGGTAAGCACCAGTGGCATGAGCAACGTGCCCCTTTGTTCAGGCAGCCTGGATTACAAGTTTGTACAGACATTGTCAACCATAAGTGACTACTCCCCAGGACTGTTCTTCTCCATTCACAATCAGGGTTTAGAGTCCCACAATGGCAGCATGTGTTGACATCTTAATGCCCGAGACCATGTTGGACAAATGGTGAAGCAATGACGAACAGGAGGCTCTCCAATCATTTCTTAGGGTCTTTAATATGCCATTTTGTTGGCTGTACTTGGCCTCAATAACTTTTTCTTTTACAGAATTTTAACAAAATTTATTCTGATAGTTTTGCTTGGTTTTTGTTGTTGTTTGTTTGTTTTTGGTGCTTCAGTGGAAGAACAGGAACTTGGGTCTGTCTGGTTTCAGAGTTTTTAGGGGTAGAGGGCACTATTTCACAATTGATTTTTATTCTGATTTATTAAAATTAAAAAAACCAAGGTTTTGGGCTGGAGAGATGGCTCAGTGGTTAAGAGCACTGGTTGCTCTTCCAGAGGTCCTGAGTTCAATTCCTAGCAACCACATCGGGGCTCACAGCCATCTACAATGAGATCTGATGCCCTCTTCTGTCATGAAGATGTACAGGAAGACAGAACTCTCTCTCTCTCTCTCTCTCTCTCTCTCTCTCTCTCTCTCTCTCAAACACACACACACACACACACAAATACACATAAATAAATCTTTTTAAAAAAAGATTTTACAGTTGTGATGAAAGTTTATAAAATATTCTCTAATGGTAGCTATGCAGATGATCTCATCTTACAGCCAAAGATATAAGTTATCATTGACAACTCCACTATGTAAATTTCAAACCCAGCCACTACAAGGCAGAAACCCAGAGATATTGCAATGTTTCCTTTTCTACCTTTAATCTCTTCCCTCACCATAGCAGCATCTATCTCTTTTGCTGCTTCTTATTCAGCCTGGGTTCCACTTTAGCAGACATGAGTTGGACAAGATGTGATTTGTAAAATCAAATCTGAGTATAGTGGTAGAAAATAAAAAGTCACAAGCAACTCATATGAATGAAATAAGCAGTGATTGAGCCAGAGAGTTCAAGATGCTACATTTACCCTGTTTTATATATCTTCCTATTTCTCTCTACAGTAAAGTGTATTTTGTTAGACTCATTCTCAATGAGTCCATGTGACTTGCTACTTTAGCTTCTTTTAAGATACTCTTTTAAAATATGTTAATATGCACATCAGATGCACTCAGTATTACTTTAATATACTATATATTTTGTATACTAAAATAACAGAAATTTGGGGTTTTTTTGACACCAGAAGAAAACATTTTAGACAAAATAGATCTTTTCCATGTACACACACACACACACACACACACACACACACACACAAACACAAACACACACAAACCCTAAAACTGTTACATAAGCACTGATGTATTTTGTTACATTTATTTATTTGTTTGTTTGTTTACTTATTTGTTTTGGGGGAAGGCATATGTGCCACACAGAACACACATGTGGAGGTCAAAGGCCATCTCGTTGGAATCAATTCTCCCCTCTACCATGTGAGCCTTAGTGTTCAAATTCTGGTCTTCAGGTTGTATGATTAAGCTCCTTTATATAGTAAGCTATCTCAACAGCAGATGTACACTTATCTTTTTATGAAATATTGATTAGATTAGTATCATATCTACAGCTTCAGAAGTACCGTATTTATTTCCAATTTGTTTTTGGCTTTACTTTGTCATCTGCTTCTTTCTTCCTTTTTTTTTTTCTTTTTGACAAACAGTCATGTCCAACAGTGGCATGGAACTGACATTATTGAATTATGTTGTGAGTTCTCTGAAGTTGTACTTTTCCACTTTCATTGATAACAATGATGTGTCAATTTCTCAAAACTGAGAAAGCAATTATCGTGTTAATAAAAAATATGTGCATAATTCTACACTGTATTGGAAAACTGATTAGCTGTCAAGATATAATCTTTGCATGTTACTATTTCATTTCCCTTTTTTGTTTTGCACTGCTTTCTAGATAAATATCAAAATATAATTTCCTTTCCTCTCATGCCTTAACGCATTTTATTCTTTCTGTCTCTTGTTTGAACATAACATTTCAGAATACTCTTCAAAAGTCATAAAAGTGATTTTAAAAGCTTGACAGACAAATTAGATAAAGGGATTAAAATTTTATTTAAACTCTGTTAGCATAAAAGGCAGCCAGTAGTTCATATTTCTTAGGTAAAATAATCACTGCATGCATTGCCCTAAATAGTTTTCACAGAAAATGCCATTGGGTATTTAAGCAACAAGACATAAAATAACAGTATTTTAGTTCTCCAAACACCTATGATTCTTTCTACTTCCTTGGTGCTGACACTTAATCGCTAATTATTATTTATTGCATTATAATGCTTTCAAGAACATCTGTTTAAGATCAGACATGGTGGTATACACAACAATAGCACAATGCCTGTAATTCCAATAACTAAAAAAGAGAGAGGAAAGTCAGAAGTTCAAAGCTAAACTTGTTTACTTATGGATTTTTTAATGAGCCTGAGCTGCAGGAGACAATTTCCAGTAAATAAAATAAATTAGCCATCTCACTTATTAATATGTCTATACATTAAAATATATTTGGTCATAACTATACTCAGAAGAGTATATCATTGCTTATCTTTTAAGATATAAAATGATATAAAAATAAACATATCATATGGATGAAAAGTTGTATTTCAGAAAGAAGACCATAATACATTTAGAAAACAAATTGCATATTAGAAAGAAGATTAGAGAAAATCTGCAGAAGCACAGGTTTATAGATCAGAAAACACAATAGTCCTATGTTATAATTCATATTGATGGGTTTTAAATGAGCTAGATCCTTAACCTTCATATTGAGAGAAACTGGAAGATTCTATCACTTACCAGAAAATAAATTATAACATCAATAAGTGTTTCATCATCAAGAAAGAATCAAAACAAAGACCAGTATGCTTGGCTTGTTTCATGGAAGCCATAAACTTGAGGTGAACTGCTCTCATAGGCTGCCTAGGAATGAGTGACTGAATACTGCTTAGAATTCAGGATCATGGAAGGCAAAAGCTTTCTTAGAAGTGAATAAAGCTTTCACTCAGGACACCAGTGCCCATCCATACTCAACAATTTACTGGGATTCAAGTATTAACAAATCCTAATATTGTGGCTTGATATTAACTCAATTCTAAAGTGGAAAAAAAATATCTCTACTCTAACTTAACTCACTGTATAAATCAAACTCAAATCTCATTGTAGAAAAGTACATTCATGAAAGAAACTCAGGCTATTTCTAAATGTTTAACCTAATATTTTAAATAATTGACAATATAACCAAGTATGGAACAGAATACTTAAAATTAATGAAAAACCTGAACAGCAGAGAAAGGTCAAAGTTCTTTTAAAATATTGAAAAATCCAAATGAGAAAATAGAGATTTCATACATTAGGAAATAGAATGTATTTAAATTGCTAAATTTTCTCCTTTGGTCATGATCAGCTTGATTATAAAAGTCATAAGATTTATAGGAAATCAAGCTCTGGGATATCTGTGAGGGATTTATGTCTTATGTTAAATGAGGTGGCAAGAAGATACTAGGTGTGGGCAACACTATTTGGGGGGTAGAGTCTCAAATTACATTAAAAAAGAAATCAATGTGAACCCGAAAACTCAAGACCCTCTGCTTCCTGTGTGCAAATTCCAGTAAAAGCCATCCCTCCACTGAGGGTTCCATCTTGTAAAAAATATAAATATAAAATATATAAAGAAGAAAGTCTGATTTGCAAATGCCACTGAAGGTGTTCCATGAACCTTAAAAACATTTATCAAAACTGTTACCAGTGGTTAGGACCTGAGTCAATTGCTTCCAGGTTCATGTCTCTTTATTTAAAGAATTGAAAGAAAGGCTTGTATGGATTTCAAAGAGCAGATTTTTTTTTTTCAAAGCAAGCAATGATACATGTAGGTCACAAGTGAAGTTTTTACAGGGGGCAGAAATTTTCGATGTGTGCATAGTATTGTATTTTATTGGGAAGGAAAAATAACCAGGTATGTGATTATATACTGATTGATTGTCTGTATACTGATTTTGCTGGATAGTTTTAGGTTTGAAAGATACATTATTAGAAACTGGTGAGAGACACTTGGGTGGTGTTTATATGACCATCTCTTCAAATGTTCCAAGAGTATTAGATACTTCTGTCCCATTTAAATATTCATTGAAATTTGCCCTAAGTAGTTAATTTCAATAATAAGGTAACTATGGTGATTCATCATGTGGACAGTCACCACCCTTGCCCCATAACCATTTCTATCATTACCATCCCCTCAAGAGGCCCATACACAACCATGGTGTCATGAATGGAACTTATATATGAGCTCAACAACATGAACTGCTACTTACTTATTAAGTGGCCTTGTCAGGAGCAAAGACTAACAATGAGTCCCTAGTGCTGCACCCCTCCTTGGAGTAGTAGCCATCTTCACAGCAGTAGATTCAATGCCCTAGACTTCTTCCACATCAATTTGTCTTTACTGGAAGAGATATTTGTTCTCAGTATGGACTTGTTTTTCTGTATGTAATGATACCAAAACTATCTTACATAACTTAGAGAATGCTTTAACACCATAGTATTTCTCACAGCATAGTTTGTGACATAAGAATTTAATTCATGGACAATGTGTGGCAGTGTGTTTGTGTTCATGAAATTTTGGGCTTACTATGGACCCATCATTCTAAAGTTTCTGTGAATAGAAATGTCAATGGTCTTTTAAAACACAATTACATTGCCAAATATGTAGAAGAAGAAAAAAACACCTAGAGATCTGAGATGGTATCCTCCATTAAAACTGTATATGCTCTGAAATACCATCTACTATAGGTTTATATACTATTTCTCTTATAGTCAGAGTTCTTGGGTCCAGAAATCAAGGGGTAGATTTGGGGATGGCACTACTCACAAACTTCCTAGTTTTATATTAGAAAAACTAAGCTTGCTTCCTATTTCTGTGACATAATGATCTGCTGACCTAGAAGTTTTAGGACAATATTGTGGTCTTTCTTCTAGAGTGCAGAATGAATAATACCTTGTACTGGCAAAAATAAGACACCATCATAGCTAGTTCAGACTCCTAAATCCATTGAGACAGAGGCTACAGAGTTAAGAGCTACAGTAGGAAGCTGAACTAATGTTTTTCATGGAGACAAGGAAAATTATTATGAGTGTTCAGATGATCCTTTAGGGGATCACTTGATGTTATCTCATCCTATAGTTAAAGTCAATGGGGAGCTATCACAATCCAACCCAGACCATAAGGAATTAAGCAATGTGTCAACCCTCCAGGTAAAGAATTTATACCTTCTGGGTTCTGAGGGTTCACAAAATACAGAAGGGTTACTAGAATATAGTAGTTATATATACAGCTAAGACCATATGAACAGTCATAGAAATGAGGATTTCAATGAGTATCTTATTTTGTGATGAACATGTCTCTGTGTGTATGTATACATACATAACACACACACACACACACACACACACACACACACACACACACAAAGGGTGACAAAATTGTTGAAAAAACAAACCTATCTATCTGTTGTCTACAATAAACACAGCTTTGAAGATAATCTACACTTTAGACTGGCAGTATTAACAAAATTATTTCAATAAAATGGAATTATTCTAATAAATGAGACAAGGAATCAAGCAGCATCACTACACTAATATTTGACAAAATGGTTTTCAAACTAAAATTAATCATGAGATAAAGAGGGACAATTCATTTTAATTAGGAGTATAGTTAACTAATAGGACATTGCTATCCCAAACATATATGCAGTAACTTATGGATCAACCAATTTTAAAAAATACACTGATAGATTTAAAAACAAAGATTCATATCAGTTCATTCACCCAAACATCAAAAAATGCACATTCTACTCAACAAATGGGAATTTTTTCTTTATAATATATCATATTCTGGGACACATACACAAATCTCTACAAATTCATAAAGGTATTGCTAACTGCTATATCTAGCCACATTATATCTAGCCACAATACAGTAAAATTCAAATTGACAACAAAAATATCTTTAGTAGATACACAATCTCTTGGAGATTAAGCAATTTGTTAGTGAATAATGAATGAATAGGTCAAAGAAGAAAGAAAGTTCCCACACCTAAATGTAAATGAAACACAACAAAACTTCTGAGACACATTAAAGACACTATGAAGGAACTTTATAGTAGTAGATAGCTACATTCATAAATCATAAAGTTAATAAATGAATGGTTTAATCATGAAATACAAAAATTTGAAGAAGCTTACACAAATGAAATCCATAACCATGCAAGGGGAAGAAATAATAAAAATGAATGCATAAATCAATGGAATAGAAACAAAGACAAAAATAAAAGAATCAATGGTTCTTTGAGAAGTTAAAGAAAATTAACACACTGTTGGCTTAACAAATGAAAGGAGAGAGAGGACATGAATCAACAGAATCAGGAGTGAACATTATCACAAACACAATCAAATTCAGAAGGTTCTAAGGAGATACTTTAAAAACCTGTTCTCCATTAAGCAGGAAAATGTAAGAGAAATGGATGAAAATACAAATTCAGCCAGAGCACAAAATTTTCTTAAGATGGCAACAACCTAAACAAGCCCATAACACATAATGAGCTTGGTATAGTAATGAAACAATTTCCAACTAAATCATTTTCAGGGCCAAATGAATTCACAGCAGAAAGATCAATAGCCAATACTCTTTTTTCTTTTCTTTTACCTTTGATACTACAGTATAATTACATCATTTCTATTTTTTTGAGATTACAGCATAATTATAGCATCTCTCCCCTACCTTTCCTTCCTCCAAACACTCTCACAAACCCCTCTTTGAACATTTTCAAATTTGGCCTTTTTTACTATTTTCTGGTGATATGTATGCATATGTATATCTGTCTAAATTATCAAATATACCCTGGTTAGTCTGTATAAGGTCACTCATACATATGTTGGAGAGCTCGCTACCTTGAGCTGGATAACTAATTGGTGTGTTCTTCTCTGGGGAAGATGATCTCTCTCATTTTCAGCATTCCTTCATTGCCTGTAGTTCTTTATGTAGCATTGCGGCCTTGTGGGCTTTACCAAATCCACTTTGGCATGTCAATTAGATTACTCTTTGTTCAGCTCATGCTTAGTGATTCATATTGATAAGACTTTAATTGTGTAGATTCCAAAAATACTAAGAGACACAATCTCACCACAAGCTCTTTTATTATCTTTCAGCTCTTTTTCCACAGTGGACTCTGGGTCTTAGGGCTATTTTATAAATGTATCCACTGGTACTAGACTCCATAAGACTGCATTGTGTTGTGTTATGGATTTCTGTAATGATATTAGTCTGTTGTGAAAGAAGTTTCCTTATTGAGATATGAGGACAATAGTTATAAATTTGTAAAAGTAGAAATATTTAGATTGTTGTTAGGATTTAGGGACATAGTCCCATTTAAAAATGCCTCAAATAAATAAACAAAAGACTGATAGATAAATAAAATCTCTAGGCATGAATATAACCAAGGACATGAAGGACTTCTACAAGGAAAAATTTAAATGTCTGATGAAATAGTGAGAAGGAAAGCAGAAAATGACAAGACACCCAATGTTCATAGATTAGTAGAATTAACAACATGAACATGCCCATTTTACCAAAAGCAATTTCAGATTCAATGCGATCTTAATTAAAATTTTTGTTTCATTAATCACAGAAATAGAAAAATCTATCCTAAAATTTATATAGACTCACCAAAACCTCAGGTGGCCAAAACAATCCAGAACAACAACAACAAAACAAACAAGACACACAAAACAAAACAAAACACTCCAAATCTTAAGTAAAAACATATATACATGTAATTTTTGGTATTCTGTATTTGACAAAGATGCCAAACTCATAATCTGGAGGGGTAAAAAGCACTTAATAAATGGTGTTGGAAAAACTGAATGTCCAAAATGAAGAAGAATAAAATTACATTCATATTTCTTACCTAGCATGAAAACCAAATCCAAATGGACCAAAAACTTAAACATGAAACCTGACACTACTAGAAGAAAACACAGGCTGTTCTCCCATGACATCGATATAGGAAAGGAGTCTTTGAATAGGAATCCACTTGCCTAAAAATAAGGTTACCATTTGACAAGTGGAAATTCAGGAAAATAGAATGTTCCTAAACAACTTATGGCACAGTCAGACAGGTGTGTAAGAAACCCAAGGAATGCGAGGGAATCTTTGCTGGCTGCACTTCTTCTGACAGAGGATTAATATTCAGAATGGCTGCTGAACTCAAAAAGCAAATATTATAAAAATGATCCATTAAAATGAGACTGCAACCTGAGCAAATACTTCTCAAAAAGAAGAAAAATAATTAAAAATATCTCAAAATACTGATTTTCCTATAAGAATGAGGTAAATACAGATCAAAACCACTTTGAGACTTCACCCAGCCATAAAGGTAAAAATTAATGAAACAGCAAAACAAAAAAAATGCTGGAGGTTGTGTGGGTAAAAATAGTTCTCATTCATTATTGGTGGTATTCCACACTGGTGCAGCCACTATAAAATTCTAAAATGCTAAACATAAAGCTACCATATGACCCAGCTATAGCAAACCTTGAGACAAGGCCAAAGGACTTGACATCCTACTTCACAGATACTTGCTAAGAATAGAAACAACTTAAATTTCATTCAACCAACTAATGGATGAGGAAAATATGATGTATAAACACTATAGAGTTTCAATTAGCCATAAAGAAAAATAGGATCATGAATTTTGCACATAAAAGATATAGATAGAAAATATATTAAATGAAAAAACTCAGACCCAGAAACACAAACATTACATGTTCTCTCTTAAATAAGGCTTCTTTGCAAGAAATATCCAGATATCAGTGCATATCCCAGATGAACTACAAAAGAGGAAAGCAAAAAAGGACCATTGCTGCTGTGTGTATGTGGAGGACAGTGGTCAGTGGGCAAAGAGGGAGGGGAATAGAATAGCAGGTTATGAGTGTTCTGATGTGGAGTTCCGGGAAAAGCAGCACTTATAATCAAGAATGTCTGAAAAAGTCATAGGAACTATTTACCTAAACCAGTCTACAATACTGGTAACTTTGTACATAAATACACATATATTATTTTAATGAAATTTTAAATTCTGTGCTGACACTGCTTCCTCCAAGAGGCAATATCACCTAAAAGACATCCCAACAATAGGCATACGAAGTCTTCTTTGTAGCTGTTGGTCAGGATTGTCCGAGAGCCTCCCAAACTCACAGCCTATCTACACTGCTGTTGGTTTCCACACAGAGGTGGAAGCTAATTCCACATTGTTTCTTTGAATCACCACACACTGTAATAAATATGCATTTTTATTTCTTTTAGAAGTACACAGAAAGTGTAATATATCAATGTGACTCTGTGTCAAAGATACTGTAAGCATCTAACTTATCATGGTGGTATGACCC